TCTGTGATTGCTGTATGATGTTAAGGAAGAGAAACTTACGTCGAAGCTTGACCGAGGAGTGGTGCTGCACGATTGTGATATACGTCAAATGCCTCCGAAGATTACTAAGGGAAAATTGCTTGTCGTTCGACATAAAGCAGGACATCGATGGATGCAGGACTTCAAAGAAGATTCAGGGTGGTTTCAAGGCGTATCACCACCTTCTCTTCATGAGGAGTTTCTTAGACAGAGACAGTCTTTCCACACAAGCTCTGAACTTCGCGAGCGAAGAGGGAAAAAAAGAAAGCGATGAAAAGGGAGCCCATCACTGAATTTTTCCCCGGTCGATATATTGTTGGTTGGACACGGTCGCTCTATAGAAAAGAGAACATTTCCCACAAATGCAGTGTGCAACGCTCATCAGCGGATTTTTAAAAGAAGTGACATGACGATCGTTAGCTGAGCAATTGGCCTGAGAGAAGAAAAGGTTTTACCGTCGCTACCACTTCTCTTTCTCATTTATGCCTTGATTTTCGACAATGGCCAAATGGATCAAAATCGCTTCTGAACCTATCTTGGACAACAACTTACTGGCAAATTGCCAAGAAAAAGATTTTCTCATGCGCGGAATTCGGAAGTCCATCCGAGTAAAGCGCATATGATGAGCAAACACTGATGTTAGAGCGGATGCGATCGTGCGCTCCCGACTCACCAAGATGTTCTGGTGATGGACGTTTGAACATCCTTCAAGGATCATGAATCTTCTCAGTCGTATCTTGACCTGAGCATTCGAGATGATAAAAATGCCAGCTGATCCCACGAGATTGATACAGCCAATGAACGTTCATTGCTTTTTGTATCCCGTATCATAGCTCATGATGTCAATTTTTGTGGCCTTGCGGCTCAATTCTCCGCTTATTATCACCTAAGTTTTCAGTTCTGTAATCTCAAGTTTGGCGAATTTCTCTGTTACTCATAGGATGCTGTTAGCTTAATGAGCACGTATCCAGGTGGATTTTGGATGATCTACGCAGTTCTGTTCTCCGTCCAGTAGAGTAATTGATTGTAAAGCAACGACCTGTTTGCTCGTAAAAAATTTGTGCCAGAATATCACATCAATCTACTTATAAAATGATGAAGGTTATCCTACCATGTATTCAAAGTGTATACGAATAGAACTGTGTCCATATTGGATGATTAAGGTAGGAACCGACTCAACCAAAGCATTCAAGGTTGCTGAAGGTGTTCACACCAACATACAAAGATTTTTTTATTCACGTGGAAAGGACCCTGCGAAGTGCAGAGGTCCCCTTGCCCACTGAGCACGACCCTTGTTGTTTTTATGCAGCATTAAGCATACGCGCTACCCCAAGCTGCCACTGCAATGCTTGCTACGTCTACATCTCTGTTGATGTNTGTTGTTTATGTTGAGCGCACTTCTGTGATCACCTTAATAACTTAGTTCAAAGAGTCTGACTGATTCAAAACGAAGATTCGAA